CACACACACACACACAGTCTCTCACAGGAGACCTTCACCAGCAGACTGTGTTTGGAGTATAACGGGACTTTCACGTCTTCAGTTTGCTGAACAAGATCTTTGGAGGGCAGGATGGAAAACACGTGTGAGGTGAGTGACTTGACTTGACTTGATTACCTTCATGCATGCACCAAACTCACCATGCAACATTATTTCACACTCACATTTAGGACTTAAATTAGTAACAGTGAATTATTATATTGGTAAGGGTGTTGCACGTTTCTGCAGCCTTCATGCATGCATTTTCTGACATACACTGTAAAAAAGCTGTAAATAAAATGACAATTCATTCACTGCAGAGCATCCATTGCTGAGCAAGTCACATAACACTACATTTCTTCAAATATATTCTGATGCAGAAACAAACTCATAAGAGGGTGAGTAAATTTTCAGCATATTTTCATGTTTGGGTCAACTATTCCTTTAACCAAAATTAATACACACAACCAGAGTGATTTAGTTCCTCTAATTAAACTTTATTTTGTGACCAGCCACCAGCATATGTGACCATGGACCACAAAACCAGTCATAAGGGTCCATTTTTTTAAATTAAGATTTATACATCATCTGAAAGCGTAATAAATACGGTTTGTTAGGATAAGACAATATTTGGCTGAGATACAACTATTTGAAAATCTGGAATCTGCCCACACTCAGATTACCTTCATGCATGCACCAAACTCACCATGCAACATTATTTCACACTCACATTTAGGACTTAAATTAGTAACAGTGAATTATTATATTGGTAAGGGTGTTGCACGTTTCTGCAGCCTTCATGCATGCATTTTCTGACATACACTGTAAAAAAGCTGTAAATAAAATGACAATTATTGTATTTTCTTACAAGAAAATACTATTTCAGTCTAGAACAAGAGTGAGCTGTCTTAAGTGAGTGAATATATATCCATATTCACTGCAATGCAATAAAACTAATATTGAATATTGCAAATGGAATGAAAATATAATGATAAAAACTGTTTTAAGTGACCAAAACAGACGTTTTAACATATAAAGTCACTTCTGTAGCATTAGAAATATAAAGGACTGGTTTTGTGCTCCAGGGTCACATATCACAAAAGCAGATTATACAGTATACAAAAGACTCCATGAAATGGTCAAACCTGCCACTTACGCTCCTCCCCCTGAGTTCAGACTGAAGCAGAGTTAGTTCACATGGAGGAGGAGTATCACAGACACTCATCTAGTGAATGAGAGCCACACACACACACACACACACACACACACACACACACACACACACCTCACCATGCAACATTATTTCACACTCACATTTAGGACTTAAATTAGTAACAGTGAATTATTATATTGGTAAGGGTGTTGCACGTTTCTGCAGCCTTCATGCATGCATTTTCTGACATACACTGTAAAAAAGCTGTAAATAAAATGACAATTATTGTATTTTCTTACAAGAAAATACTATTTCAGTCTAGAACAGGAGTGAGCTGTCTTAAGTGAGTGAATATATATCCATATTCACTGCAATGCAATACAACTAATATTGAATATTGCAAATGGAATGAAAATATAATGATAAAAACTGTTTTAAGTGACCAAAACAGACGTTTTAACATATAAAGTCACTTCTGTAGCATTAGAAATATAAAGCAATAAATATAGGCTATAAGCCATATTCACTGCACAAATGCATTTAAACTAATACTGACCTTCATGATGAGTCTGAAAGGCTCAAAAACATACTACTACAACAAGTATCAGATTTATATTTAATGACTTTTTCTACTTTCATGAGAACTGATAAACAAAATTTAAACTTGAAAAAAGAATGCTACTTTGATTTTGTTTGGATGTAAATGATAAGAAAATGCAATTTTCAGACTGTATAAATGAGTCTGCCCATCTATTTGGATTTGTTTTATTGTATGTCTTTGCTTTAAAGAAACAACTTTTCAACTCTGGATAACAGTTTTCTGAAAATTGCATGTGCAGTTTAAGGTGAAAACTAACATGCGGTTTCTGTCAGTTTCAACATTGTTTTTTTTACGTATAATTAAATTGGCTGCACAAGTAATTTCAACTTAATTATATTAAAAATTGAGTTGAATCTTATATTACTTAAAAAATTAAGTTAAAATTGGTTACATTGATTTAATGCGTTAAAGTGCTTTATCATTTATATGATAAGTGACTATCATATCATGTTCACAGTGCACTGGGTCACTAAAGAAGATGGAAAAGTATTGAAGTGATCTAAACAGCGCATGAGGGTTGAAATGCAGGCCAAACGTTGCAGCTGTAATGTGTATCGGTCAGAGCGAAGAGAGTCGCTGGCGTTTGGCAGATCTGCTGACCCTCTTAAGAAAAAGCCCTTTGAGAAATGGCTGTTAATTTATACGGCGCTCGTGTTTCATGGGCCGGTCTAAAATATCATACGCCGAGCTCTCCAGGGAATGTGGCAGCTCTCTCTGCGTCATTCAGACGGCGCTCAGCCTGCGCTCCAAAAGCAGATCCGGGGGGCTCTTCCTGTCTGAAAACCAAAACAACTCTAAAGTCCTAGCGTTTACTCACTCATGCATCGCTATTACTATACTTCTCAAACATCGGGATAAAGGTTTGTTTAGATCGCTAGCACTTACATTTAGTATTAAACTTCAGTGTGCAGCTCGTCATGCATCCCATAAACAAACAAACACCATTACACCAGTCTAGCAACACACACACACAGCAGTCGCAAACCACCCAGAACACTCTAGCAACCACCACAGACCTTAGCAACTCCCTAGCAACTACCCAAAGTGTCCTAGCAACCGGAATGCAGGCCCTGGCAACCACCCAGGCAGGGTTTTTTTTGTGTTATTTGTATGTTATTACAGTATTTATTGATATTTAGAATTAGCTTTGATTTCTTTATATTTATATATTTCACCTTAACCTTTAGTAATTTTGTTATGTGCTTTTGTCATTTTTATTATTATTTTCTTTTTTTTTTCTTTTTTCATCTAATATTTATATTTTATTTTATTTCTACTTATTTCTACTGATTTTAATAGACTTTTTTAGTTAACAACAACAACAATGCACCAGAACACCCTAGCAACTCCCTAGAAACAAAACTCTGGTGGATTTAAAAAAAAAATAAATAAAAAAAAAAAT